TATATATATATATATATATATATATATATATATATATATATATATATATATATATATATATAATATTGAGCTTGAGCCGGTTTTCGGGTCCGGAATGACCATTTCCGGACCAAATGGTTAGTCTAAAAAAATATATATTTATATTTAAAAAATATAATAACCCTAACAAAAAGTGTATTACCTTGTTAATTAAATAATTTTTACATTTATTTATTACTATTTATATTTATTACTCCGCATCCGCAGCATGAAAAATCGTAGGGTTTTCAGGTAATAACACATGACCCAATTTGTGAACAGCAAAGCTGTGAATCGGTTTACCCTTTTCAGTCCATTCTCTCTCTCTCTCTCTCTCTCTCTCTCTCTTAATAATCTATACTATGACACTGATCTTTGCCCATTCTTTGACCTGAATCTTGTTTTTTTCATCATAATTCTTTGATTTTTATCTACTTTAATTGCTGAGTGAATAAGTGGATCGCACTGTTTGGTGTTGGGTTATGAGTGTTGTCGTTGATTTGTAATTATTCTTATCCTTTTTGCTGATATGGATTTTGAATGATTTCACCTCTTTTCAGCTTCAAGAGGAAGTTTTTAACTTTTTTTGGGTGTTAGGGAAGAAGATCAAGCAAAAGTTGGTCTTTCATAATGATGAAGAACAATGTGGGTCTTTTTGAAGTTTGACCAGAGAAAAGGGCACTATCAAAGAAGAAAAGATGTCTCCTTCGATGCTGTAATTGTCAATGTGAGATTCTAAGGAGAGTCTTTTTTTCCTCCACACGCTTCAATTTTGTTTTACTTTTAGATGTGATACGTCCCGGACAAGTTGGGATTGTTATCTTCTTTTCCCTTAAAAGCTTGTTGTTTTGGGACCTCCTCTGTGCAGACAAGGTGTTTGTGAAAATGCCCATGTACCAGCCTTCTACTGGTGGCCAGGTCTTGGATCTGGAAACTGCCGTCAAAGATGGCATTTTGGGTGGTGGAGTTATCTGCGGTGGCGTCACCACTGCAAACGTCGAGAAACTGGATCTGAAGACGATGATTGAACAGCTCGACTCCATTGAAGTCCCATCTGTGTTCATCTGTCCAATCTCATTAGAACCGATGCAAGATCCAGTCACCCTTTGTACAGGTCAGACATACGAAAGGTCCAACATCCTCAAATGGTTTTCTTTGGGACACTTCACTTGCCCCACCACAATGCAAGAGCTTTGGGACGATTCACTAACACCCAATTCAACGCTCAACCATTTAATCCACACCTGGTTCTCTCAGAAATACCTAGCTATGAAAAAACGATCAGAAGATGTTCAAGGAAGGTCTTTAGAGCTCCTGGAGACATTAAAGAAGGTCAAGGGTCAGTCCCGAGTTCAAACCCTCAAAGACCTCCGAAGAATCGTCGCCGCCCATGACTCCGCCAAGAAAACGGTGGTCGATAATGGCGGAGTAAGCTTCATCTCTTCTCTCTTAGGTCCTTTCACCAGCCACGCAGTCGGGTCAGAAGCGATTGGGATCTTGGTGAATCTCCGATTAAGCTCAGATTCCATCGCTAATCTTCTTCAACCCATGAAGATTTCATTAATGGTGGATGTTTTGAACGAGGGGTCGACCGAAACCAAAATAAACTGTGTAAAATTAATGGAAATTTTGTTTCGAGACTCCGAAATTATCCCAAGTTTGAGTCTTTTAGTCGGAGTATTGAGGTTAGTGAAGGACAAAAGACACCCACATGGGATATTGGCAGGGCTTAGATTATTAAAAATCATCACCCTACAACAGTCGCCGGAAAACTCCATAATCAGCATCGGTGGTGTTCCCCAATTGGTTGAAATGTTGCCTTTTTTTAACCCTGAATGCTTAGAATTAGGTTTATATGCTCTTGAAATTCTCTCTTCGATCCCTGAAGGTGCTTTAGCTCTCAAAGATTGCTCTCATACAATTCCCAATTTGGTGAAATTGCTGATGAAAATCTCAGAAACTTGTACTCAATATGCATTGTCAATTCTTTGGGAGGTTTGTAGGCTTTCGCCGGAAGAATCTGCCGCCACAGCAGTGAACGCCGGACTTGCCGCCAAGCTCCTCCTTGTGATTCAGAGTGGTTGTAGTCCGGGAGTGAAGCAACGGTCAGCAGAGCTTTTGAAATTGTGTAGCTTGAATTACACAGCCACCATTTTCATTTCGAAATGTAAGCTCACAAGAACATTGCAATGAAATGAAAAGGGTAAAATGGTCAAAAAAAACTGTTCATATAGAAGGAGGCAACATAATACCCCTTTATGTATCCTGTGTAATGTGTATACCCTCCCCTATTGAAGGGGGACTCTTTGTAATTCAATTTTGTTTGTTTAATGAATATTAGAGTAGGTTGAAATATATCTTTATAATTCAATTTTGTTTGTTTAATGAATATTAGAGTAGGTTGAAATATATGTATGCAATTTCATGGTAGAATTTAGAATAATCTTTTTGAAAAAGGATTATCAATTTTTGACAAAGTAGCGCCATACGAATACGATACCCAAAAGACCCAAATTCAAACTGAAATTGAAATTCTCATACAATGGCGCCTAAAAAATAATACCCTATAACGTCATGTAAGAACTGAAATTCTCAATATTTATTGAGACCGAATATTGACTGTTTGTGGAGTATATTATTTTCTACTATTTTTGAATTGGTGAGGGTTAATGTAAAATAATCTTTTAGAATTTAGAGTTGGCTATCTATCGTATTCATATGTATATAAAAGAAATCGATAGTTTTAGGTGTTTGTTTGTTTCTACAAGTGCAATAAGACTGAAGAATGAGGTGATTCACACACCAACACACTTCACTCTGGTGCTTGGAAATGACAATTGAGACCAAAAGTCATGATGATTGATGAGGAGTACAACTATAAGTGGTGATGTGTGGAAGGTGTTGATGTCAACAAATCTTGTCAGCACTCAGCTTCACGCAATCTCTCTCTCTCTCTCTCTCTCTCTCTCTCTCTCTCTCTCTCTCTCTCTCTCTCTCTCTCTCTCTC